GCTAATAAAACAGCATTTCAGTGCTCGTACATTCCACAAAGGGCAAATCTTTACCAGGAAACTGTTTTAATATTATTATTATTATTGTTATTATTTAAAGACACTGAGCAGGAGTGCATTAACTCGGGGTATTATTTCCAGTAGTTCCAAAAATGTCTGCAGCACACCTGCTCTCCCTGGCCACTTCAAGCCAGCTCCTGCTCTGTTGTTGTTGGCTCCATACCAAGAGCCAGCAAAGCAAAAAATTTTTCACTTAAGCCCAGACTTACTGTTCTCCTGTCAGCTTCCTCATAATGTATTACCTCACCTCGTCCTCTGAACTCTCGCATTTCTTTGTAGAGAACTGTAATTAATTGTGAGCCACAGTTTAGCTCTGGGGGTTCAAAACAGTTTCACGTGTTTACCCAAACATTAACATTTTTCCTTCTTTTTTAATTTCCAAGCAGAAAAGGTGATGAGGGTTAAACAAAGCATTGCTCCTTCCAAGAACTCCAAACCCCAGCAGGGCTGGAAGGAGCTGATGGGAGGGAGGAGGGTGGAAGAGATGGACAAGGGGGTTTTCAGCCAGACACCAGGAGCCAGAGCTATGCCTGGGAACTCAGGTTCAGGAAGAAAAAGGGAATCCTCTACTGCAGAAACAGCTCAGCTGATAGAGTAGTGTATCCCAGGGATCCAGGCAAACATCAGTATCTTTATTTCTTATTGAGGAATTGGTACACAGAGGGGGTGTTAAACTGACCTGCCACCTTTTTTATTCACACATTAATTTATGAGGATTTGTCATACAAATGAGGACAAATCTTATGACTGGAGGAAGGTCTTATTTACTCATCACACCAATAGCACCTCTGTAGCAACCCTACCAAAGCTGAAGATATCCCACTTCATTTGTGGATTATTGTCAGAAGACCTAAGGTGTTTCTAGAAGCCCTGAAGGACCCAGTTAAACCACTTTTCCATTATTTTCTTGCTGCAGAATCCTTTTGTCTGTTGCAGAGCCTGCTCACGTCTCATCTGAGGGCAGCTCCTCCAAATCCAACACAGGGGTGCTGTTAATCCCACAGGAATTTTCTTCAGAAATAGAGCAAAAAGAAAAGTTGCATATAGATCATAGAATATAGATACAGGAATAAACACAAAAACCCCTCATGAAACTTCAGAACATTTCTACTTCTCAGCCATTCAGGGCTATCCAGCACCATAAGAAACCAGTAACTGGAAAGAGACCTATCCAGTAGTAATAAGAGATGCACTTGGGTTTCTGCTTTCAAATGGATGTGAGGTTTCTAGTCCATACAAACTTAACAGTAGTCCCATAGCTGATGCTCCCCAGAAAACCATGATAACCCTTTGCCAGTCCAGTCAGAACCTTTGAAGTCAGTGACAACGTTGTCACAGTAATAGCTCTGAATAGCTATGTTGGCCCTTACGTTTCTGAAAGACCATCTATTTTGTACCACTCAGGTTCTTTGAAATAACGCCAGTGCCCAGTCTTACAGCACCTGGCACATTTGCCATCAAGCTTCTTTGCTTCTTACTGCTTTTCCAAAGCAAGCTTTCCCATAACTTCATCTTTATTGCTGTTAGTAGAAAGAAAAAATGGTTCCATAATAACTGAATGTCTAACTTTGCAGGAATGTTATACAAACAGCCCTGCTGAGACTGACGTAGCAACCAGTTGCTGGAGATCAAGTTCGTCCCTTAAATTACTTTTCTTCAATGCAGTCATGAAAACATTCTTGCTTGAAGACTAGTGGGGAAAAAGGTCTAGATTTAATATCAAGAAAGGTGCAAAGCTAGTTGGAAAACAGATCCGCTTTTAAAAAATCAACATTTCAGTATCATATTGGGAGGATTTAGTAATGTCCCAACAGTGTTTGTCACAAATCTGTTAAAGGCAGTGGCTAAAAGCTATTAATAACAGCCAAAGCTGGCATCTAACATCATGAATCAGCTAAGAAAACATGAAACCTCACAGCACAACTCTGATTTAACCATGATACCTTTGACAGCTGTATGGCAAAAAGTTATTTGCAGGTTAGTGGCATGTTGGAGTATCAAAACGGGGAGGTGATGCCCTGCCTAGGCCTTGCATGGCAATCTCAGCCTCAAGTCTATGGCATAAACCAAACAGTCAATGCTAGTGCATAATCTTCTGCATGAGGAAGATGTGCTAACTAACCTGTGTGAGATTGCATGCCGAAGGGTGATCTTACCCTTGACCATTTTCTATGCACATAATGAGGAGCAGAGTACATTAGTAGAATCATAGAAGCAATAAAAGGTGAGTGCTCAATCCTGCCAGATCCCACTGTACCTTCTGCTTCTGCTCACCACCTACCACAGTGCCCAGTAACCTGAATGTCAAACCCAGTACCAAACTGAACTTCCGGGCCACATCACATCTAGTCCTTAGCAGGGGTGGAAGAAAAAGCAGCCTGGAGTAACTGGTTGTAGCCAGGGACCAGGAGGCAGCAAACAACCTGTACTATTTTTTTTTATCTGAGAATTGTCTGCTAAACATCCAAATCGTTATGACATCTAACAAGGAAGGAAACCAATAGTAATTTATCTGAAGCTTTATGGTCTTTTGGGTAAACTAATTCCCCTTGCCTCTCAAGCACAGGCCTGTACAGCCAATGCAGTTTGGCCACTCTTTTAGTACTCAAAGTAAGATAAATGACCATCTTGTCCACGAGTCATCTATACTGTTTCCCATAGGAAGACAAGGTTTGAATTCAAATTGATCCTGAAAAGCCCAAAGGAATGGACAGAAATCAAATGAATGACAGTAAAAAGCACTTAAGAGGGAAATGTCAAATGCAAAAGTCCCCAGCAAACAAGCCCAACCTGAGGCCTTTATGAGCAGTGACCTGCCAGGCGGCAGTGTGCAGAGAGGGACGCACAGCCTTTAGAGATCCAGAAACTGCGGGAGTCCTCGGTATTGTCTGCCTACAACACAAGAAAGGGCAAAACGTCACCCCAGGCCACACCTGCAAGAGTGTTTTATGTAAGGCACATAAGAAATTATTGTGCTCTACTTGGCACTAGTGCAGTCTCAGCTGGAGCACCATGCTTTAAGGAAAATGGCAGTTGGACAAGGTCAAAAGGAGCTCATATGAAAGACAAAAGGTTTAGAAACGCACCCCAAGACAAAAGGTTTATGGAGTAGGCGTCTTCTGTGTGGAAATGGGAAGGTGAAGGAAACCTAACAACACTCAGCTGTCAAGCAGAAACTTGACTTCTTTCTGCCCATTATAAACTGGTGCTGTGAAGTGTAATGTCTTCTGCTCTTTGCTTACATTTGGTGGGCTTCGTACAGCAGGACTGCTTTTGCAGTGCAAATTCAGACCACTTGTTAGCACATCTTCAGACCTTTAGTATGTCTGTAGAACCAGACTTTCATCAGATCAAAGTCCTTCATGATTCCCCTCAGGATCTGGTTTTGTGGCTGGTACTCATCACAACCAACTGCTTTTGGACATATCCAGTTGTCTGGAAGATTGTCCACTTTAGTCCTGCATTGCTGCTATTAAGCTGAGACAACCTCTGGGACATGATGGTTCTTAATGTGCAGTGCCAGTCTGCCTAGTGACTTGCTCTAGGAGACACAACCTGGACACACAGGGCTTGAGTCATTTCCAACATGGGTATCTCATGTAGTGCGTCTGCCAGGGCTGGCAGGTATGACATAGTACCTACAGAAGACCTACATGTTTCTGGACAGGCATTTGGACTCAGGCGGCACTTCCTAGGGGAAAATAGCAACTAGCATGCACTCAAGCAGCTGAATTGTGCCTGCTGCCCAAGCAGAAGAAGAAGCATCAGAACAGCAGTGAATTTATTAAATTGCATATAATAGGGGCACCTGGTGCATGGATGAAAATCACACCATGCTGCAGTGACACTACTAAGCAGGAGATGGAGTTTCTGTCTGCCCTCCAACAGAGGCTCCCAAACTGAAGCGTTCTATCCACAAGCACGACTTGTCCAAGGACCACGTGCAGTGCAGTGCCCAGCTGGGCTGGCAGCAGGGTGCACATGTGAATGCCAAGGAAGGCAGCAGGATAAAGGGAATGGCTGGGATAGGGGCTATTTCCTCAACACGTTACTGCAGGTACTGTCTCCCCTTCCCTTGCTGGAGGCATTACTACCAAACCCTTTGCTTACCTAGGGTGCGGAGCTGGCACAGACCTGCATCAACCCCAGATCCTGTTTCTGGGCCACAGTGACCAAGAGTGCAATCATGCACACTTCCTTCCAAATTTATGCAAAAAGCATCCACCCCACACATATTTTATCCACTGTATTTAAGGCCTTGTGTAGTCTTGGCAGAAGTGGATGGATTTTGCCCAGAATACACAATTTAGTGTTAATTATCCCTTCCTGCTGGGCTTTAGAGCACAGAGCTTTCAGTTTAAGAACAACAGCTACAAGAGCTAATGAATTGCTCTGTTACCAGGAAGCAAACCCTTTGCAAAGTGCAGAGGATCCTGCCCCAATGCAGGTCACACGGAAACTCTTCAACAATAGGAGGATGGAATTTGTTAACTCTTCAGGGAAGGAGAGAGCATCACCAGCATCACTGCTGCTAGGGGGAACACCCCAACACAAAAGAGCATCTTGCCCCCCCAGGACACAGCAAATCATACTGTAAAAGTAAGGGAAGAACACTCCCCTCATCAGTCAGTGAGAGGCTGTAGAAAAGGAAGGAAGAAACATGGCTGAGATTCATTTCTTTCCATGTAACATACAGTAAAGTCTGTATTTTCTGCTTCCATTTGGGGGAGTATATAGGAGCCGGATTAAACTGCTGCATTCCAAACCCCACTTCTCACATGCATTTATGCCACATATAAGATAGTCTATGCACCTGTCACTAGGGCTCCACTGACAGACCACTTCTCTTTTGCTGATACTCCTTGAGATGAGAGAGCTTTGCACCACTTTGCTGGCAATTCAGCTGCAGGTAATGAATTAACAGCACATGGGAGTCATGCTTGGAACCAATAATAATTTAATTCACCTGCACTGGAACTTAACCATCCAGCAATAGCCATTGCAGAGTGCCTCTCTACACAGCTGATTTAGGAGCTTTATAGACCTACATGTGGTGATCATTTGATTCTGAGACTGACACGTTACCTGAAGGAGAGTCCAAACTACAGTCTAGCATAGCGAGTATTTTGGCTGGTGGTGACCACATTTTAGCTACTCTTTCAAATGCAGTCTTTTAGGTGTAGATGCTCACTTACTTGAATATCCTTACAAGAGTAGGAAATGAAATACTGAAATATAGAGCAGATGCTTCAGTACCTTGGACTAGATCCATTATTGACACAGGACCAACATTACACCCTTCTCAAAGATACTTTCTCACTTGCTCATATGTTGTACAGATGTAGGCTGCTGGCAACGATCTCTAAGGCAAAGTGGGCAACTTCCAGAATTTCAGCTACCCTTTGTCTCCATTTCTGGTGCAAGATTCTGGACAGTTTATTCTCATTTGGGTCTCTGTAGTTGTCATACTAATATATCCTCATTAATGCCATATTTTGGCTCCCTCTTGAAAACAGGGTAAGGGAGACACCACTGGATGAATGGAACAACATCCAGCACTGGAGGCAAGGGATGGTGTCTGTCCCCAGGAGCATTACTGCAGGCCACTGAGATAACCCTGTGATCTACCTGCCAACATGCAGAGGTTTTAACAGCAGCTCTTCCAGAGAGCCTGTGGCAAAAGTCTTCAACGGCTTGGAATTGCAACTACAAGCACCAAGAAGTAAAAGTCTATAAGGAGTGAGAATCTTTCTTCCTGAGTCAGTTGAGGAAACAGCTGTATGAAGCCTGACATCCCTTTGCCAAGACAGCCGTGAACATCTTCCATCACATTCAGATGCAGCTTCCTGTCTCTAGAACAAGTTGTCCAGCAGTGGCTCTCTGGGAAACACCAGGCGAAAAAAGAGAAATACCAGATTGATTAGAGGGAAGATTTTATTCTGTGAAATGAAGATAAATCTGCAGCTTTATGACTGATGGTTTTACTGTGAGGTACTGCATAACAGGCTTAAGTAATGCTGAAGTATGACTGCCTCCTGTTTTATCTGGCTATAGTGTTTCTCCTTAGCTCATTGAGTCTCAGAGAAGGTTGTGAAGAACAGAAGCCTTTCAGAGCTGCAGCCTGCTTGCATGTGAATCCTTCTTGCCTGGCCACAGTAATAAGCATGAGAAGCGCATACTGAAGTCATTCTTCATAATGTTTTGCCTTGTAACATTTGAAACTGAAGAAAGCTTCTTTCTTTTACAAATAAATATTGAGCTAATTGCAGTAATATACATGAATCAAAGCCACGTATTTTGGTGAATAAAAGGCAGAACATCTACTCGGCATCTGGACAGCCCCAGTTTCCAGCATGAGCAGGTCCATGGGGGAGCAGCATGGGCAGGCATCTTGAGGGAAATCAAAGCAAGTGGATGCCCTGTTTCCAAGCCCCCATGGGCCTCATCATGGAGCCTGCAATGGCCCATCTCTCCTACTGGTTGGCCTGCCCTATTTCTTGAACAATTTTAGCAGGGTTTGCCATGCTCCTTTTCTGTCTACATGGCCTCTACCTTAGTACTGTCTCAAGAGACAGGAGAGACTCGACCTCGACAAACCTGTTGCCCACCGTGTCCAGTAGAAAGAAGCCAGGGCAACTCCCACCTTGGAAAGAAAAGCATTGATTTACCTCTTTATACAAGACACTGAGGATGCTCCATCAACACCTTCCCCACCCAGCTCCTCAGAGGGCAAGTTGCTTGTCTTCTGTCCCTTACTTCTTTTTTTTTCTTTTGAAAAAAACTCAGTTGAAAAACTGAGAGGCAAGTCCCCACATGGGAAACAGAGCTTTTGATAAGCAGCTTGAAGCAGATCCTGCTGGAGGGGAGTTAAGCAGGGGTGTCAGACAGTAAATGTTGAGCAGACCCAGAGACATACATTTTCTTTTGTGCAGTGTCTTCAAGCCCAGTGCCTTGGGTGTGCTGTGGCATGGGAGAATTGCACCACACACGTGGGATTTAATATGTTGCAGCAAAGTGCAAGAAAGCCATGGTTTGTCATCCCTTCACATGAGGCTTGGGATGTGAGCAGTAAGTACAGGACAGCCCATATTGCACAGGGCATCTGGCGACTGAACGCCAAGTGACCTCCATACTACAGGCAATGCTCCAACCCCATCTGCATGGCTACAGCTTTGCTCTCCTAGAGCTCCTACGCTTCACCAGCTAGGCATTACTGAAATTAGATCCCACAGCATGCCTGTAGATAATGATTTATACTTATCTTTCCTCTAAAGATAGGGAAACTGGAGCAGAGACAAGATTTTTTTCTCCTGCTGTTGTTTCCACCCCTGAATGTGCTGTCTGTGATCCAGGACATCTGCCTCCCACTCCAAATATTCTTGCACTGGGTCAGGATGCAGGCCCCTGGCTGTCCCTCCCAGGCAGTTCTGCTACCTGGCTTTGACAAGGGGGCAACACAAAGCAGAAAGAACCACTCGGACACCCACCAAAAATGTTTGGGTTCTCTTCTGGTTTTCAGTAGGGCAACATATTGCCTGCCTGGGGGCAGGGAGAATGAGGCTGAGCTTTAGGAATTTTTTGGAAGGTCTGCTGATCATCAGTCATATAGATATAAAAATCTTATGAGGGTGTGTAAACTCTGCCATCCTCTTCACTGGAGAGTCACCGATAGACACTGGGTAAAAACTAGTGAGGCAATGGACACTGGTGTATTTCCTTTTTGTTGTCACCATTGACAGAAATAGACAGTTTATGTGTTTTCTGACATGATGTAGACAGCAAAACCTAGATCTGAAGTAAGTGCTTGTAATAACTATCGGCCCCTTCATCAGGCACCCAGAGGTCCCTGCTGCTCTTGCAATCAGGGCTACCTCAGTGCCAGCGGGTTGGTGTACCTTCCCTGCCCAAGGCCACAAGGTGAAGGATGCCTAGTTTTTGGGACACCCCAAAATCTCCTGAGGAGCCTGACCTGCTGGCTCTGCCTGTCTCTGTATACTGATTTCTGCTCTTGTGAAACAAAGGCACAGTCAGTGTTTTCTTCTAAAGCTTGGGTGGAGGAGGTACCCATCTCTTATATAGCAGCTTGTAATGAAAGCATTCATCAAGGATATTGTGCTTTGCCCAGGCTGGTTCTTGTCATCTCCTGCTCTATGATGGTGGCTGAATATGCACGGACTGGTCCTTGGGACACAACGCATCTTCTCTGCCAAGGGACTGCTCTTCCCATCGGAAAAGTGTTAGGTTCCCTCTGGCACCTGTGCTTGTTTGTGTGAATCTTATCTTCTTTCTCCACCTTCTCCTTTCACCTAGGTCCTGAAATACAGTCCAAAGAGGAAAATATCTTCAATAAAAGGAAGGGGAGTGCCTCTGCCCTGCTCAGAAATAGCCTGTGTCCACTGAGTTACAGTTTTCAGTCACTGAGGTTATCATGGGTGGAGTAAACAGGATATTGGGATCCTCCTGATATGAATAATTTTACCTTTAGGACGTGGGCAAGAGTGGGGTTTGAAGGGACACAGCAAGCCCTGTCCAGAAAAAAGATTCTCAGGGAGAAATCCATGTTTTGGAGCATGTGAGGACAGAAGCACCTGAGTGCTAGCTTCCCAACAGAGATCCCTGGACTTTGTTCCAGAGATGGGCTCTCAAGTTCTTTCTTATACTAGCCTGTAGTCTCAGTGTGATGACATCCTGATATCAGCAGCTCATTTATGTGCAGGGAAAAACCCAACCCATTCTCATTTTCAATATGCTAAATAAGTAAGAGAGCTAATTGTGCCCTCTGCTCTTGTAACAGCTTGAAAGTGAAAAAGAGGTGTTGTCGCAATAGGGCAAAGGACATTCTCTAGCTCCGACAATAACTCAGCAGTCTGGACTAGAACGGTCCAGGTTTTTTTTGCAGAGAACATGCCATGCTGCCAGCAGCCCACTCTTGCTGGGGTCTTGCTTGCTTTTGTGATTTACTTCTGGGTTTTGCCATTAGTACAATCTTAAACATCATCGTTCTTGGCTTCACTCTTCACTCTGGTACCTACCAGCATATACAGAGACCCTGTGACGGATAAAGCAAACCCAGAAGAATAGAGTAGCTGTAATCTAGCCTCTACTTATTTTTACCAAAAGCAGCAGCATGCAGAGCACAGACATAGGAGTGGGAGAATGGAGAAACATGATTTTAAGTCAGCCAGCACAGGAGGTGGTTCTTAGCTCAAAACCGCTTTCATCATAAAATAAACGCAGCTTTTTGCAATAGCTGGAGGTCTATGCAGCCACATATACAGGGAACAAAGAAGTTTGTTTACGTGACACTGCTTACACTGCATTACAGGGTAACAAATGTCAGTGCAGCACTAAGAGCAGAGCAAATCCAGTAGCTGGGTTTAATCGTGAGCTGTTACTGCTACAGACTGTAATGAATGGATCTTTCCTAAATTGTTTCCCACCACTGATATTGAGGCATTCGCCTTGGACAAATAAACTGTACAGGTTGATGACCTTTGGCAAACTTGCTTCAAATTAAAATGGAGAACATTTCAGAAGGGCAAAATCGGAGGTAAATAGAAGCTGATGAATCTTATTAGTAAATATAAAAGAGCTTTAAGGTTTCATCTAGATGCAGTACCAGGACCAAACTTCTTCATTTGAATTAATTCATTCTCTCAGAGCTGTATATCAAAGTGCACCCCTCAGAAGCTCCAGCCAGGAACTGTGTCCTTGGGAGGCAGGGATACCCTCAGCAGATCAGGCTGTGACTCAGAGCATGCTCGGTGCCTGCTTTACACCACTGTAAAAGGAGCAATCCCCACCCCACCCTTCCTTTCTCCTGCTCTGGCAAAAGCTTTGGTTACTCAGTGAATGGATTCAGTTGAAAAATAACCTAGGAAACATGGCTTGTTACTTGTTCACTGGATTAGTCCTTATGGGACTGTACTAGCCTTGGAAAGGGCAGAGGATGAGACAGGGCAAGAAACTCCCTTCTAGCAGCAGCAGCACTTGCTAACACTGATAGCAGTGGTTGTCGAGTTTCAGGCTCAGTGTTCAGAAATACAGTTCTCAGGAGGTTTAAACATCTGCTTCTGACATTCCCAGAAGTCCACCAGCATCCATATATTGACTCACCCATCAGAGCCCACAGACTGGGTCTTCCTTCACCTGTATTGCCTGAGGAGCATGGTGAAACAGGCTTAAACCTGCTTAAACCATTTGGACTGAGCTGCACAGTGGTGAGGGAATAACAGGATAATCCATGATTATGTCCATGTTATAACACTCATGAGGGATGTGTCAGTTTTTCCATCGAAAGAAGGAAGTTCAAGGGCAGCATGCTCTGTTTTGGCCCTCCTGGAAGACAAAGACTCTATTATTGAGTTAGTCTTACTTTGCATGACAATTTTGTATTTGTTGGGCTGGAGAGTGAATAACATGATTTATTTGTCACACATGTCTGTGGTGGAGATGATGGTGTCAATCGTCTTGGCAGTGTCCCACGTGAATAACGGCCAGACACTGTAACTGGTACCATAATTCAAGTCTCCTTTTTAAAGGCGCTGCAATAGTCAACTACTAATTAGGAATTTATACTTACTCTTGTGTGTTTTATAATTGTCTCTTTTGTCCTCTCAAATAACAGCATTAGCAGGAATGCACCTGAACAAATGGAACCCTCTGTCACCTCCCCTGCTTTTCTTGACTAGACAAGCAGTGGCATATGCTGGGAGTGGTTCAGAGCTGCACTTGTGAAAGTAAGGCATTGAATAGAACCTGCCTTTGCCTAGCAAGGACACTAGTTTGGCAGCCAAGTCATGCAAGGACTTGGCATCTTCAACACATCCCGTTTTCTCTTAAAGCTGGCCAGGAATAGTCGTCAGGTCAAAATGTGCTGTAAGATGACAGAACATGCAGTATAGGCTCACAAAAGCCATTGTTTAGGAGACCAAGGCCAAAACCAAGGTAGGTGGGTAGGTGGTTACAGGATATTAAGAGCAAAGAAATGGTATTCTGCAAGGAGACTTAATTTATTGCTGTCATTTTTTGACTGACAAATACATCATTATCTCAAATTTAAAGTACTCCTGACATTATACAGCAGCAGTGTTCTTTCACCCCTTGCCACCGCTGGTCATTCAGCAGAGCATCGTCATGTGCTGCAGGACACTGATGGTAACATGCACCTTTCGGGGGAGGAAAGGCTCTGCTTTTCACAAAGAGAGCTTGCTGCCAGTGTGTGCTCAGCAAACTCCACATCAGGTAACACCACATGCCTAAACACCTAAGAACAAAGGTGGGCAAAATGCACTTCAGAAGCTACGGAAGACAGCTAGTTTAGTAAAACTACAGGAAGAGCTAATTTGTGAAATATGAAGGTATTAACCATGAGAAATCCTACAGAAATTAAAGTTTCTGCTTAGAAGGAAGTATATGACTAGACTATGGTGCAATGGTCTGGCTGCATAAGCCGGTTCTGAAGTGACAATGAAGCTAGCCTGCCATCTGTTTTGGTGTTTTGAAGTGCTCGCTTTTCCAGGAGGAAGGACAGTCACTAGAGCATGGCTCTCCCATGAGGAGAATCTTATTTACCTACCACAGTCACAAGGGATGTGCACAGGTTTGGGTGGATTATGTGTACTGGGCAAAACTGTAGAAACAAGGTATCAGGAGGAGCAGAAGATGGACTTGAACGTGCAGTTCAGAAAAGTCAGGAATATAAGAGCTCTTTGACCCATACATGGTTCTGGCTGTGAAATATTTGCATTTTTTGCCATCAGATCTTC